TCTTCACATAAGTGTGTTTTCTATAAGCTGAACTGATTTTTATCAAGCTTCTATACATTATAAAATAATTGCTTTTAGTAGTTTTCTACAAAGCAGCACACAGACCCATACAAAATCCATATTCAGCACACAAACTTTCTCATATACCACTAAAGATTTGTAAAATTTCTCAGATTAAAAATAGACAAATTAACCTTAAATTTGTTCTGAGTTTTAAACAGAAATCTTTCTAAGAATGTCAATATTTTTAAAATATCTTTCTATTTAAGTTTTATTGCCTTCAGAAATAGCTATCATCTATCAAAGCCTGTATTTTAAACCATTTACAAATGGTTTACATGCCTTTCTCCTAAAGGTTAAATGCTTCCAAAAAAAAACCCAAAAAGAATCAAAATAGATTTTATTAAAAGTGTGATGAGTAATATATAAGTTCAATCTGTTCTTGGCTAGGTAATGTAAATGTGATGGCAGGAATGACAGACAGATGTCATATAAATGAACCATTTTCCTATTTGACCTGTATTCATCACAGCTTATAGATACGTATACACACATGTAAATCCATCCGTTTATAGACACACAAATTTTGTGAAGACTGAGAAAAACTTGAAATAACTAGTATTAAATTTACAGGTTTGGATCTGAAATTCAAATTGCCATGGTTTGAGAAAACAGCAGTAATTATGGGAATCCTCCCAGCTCCCAGTACCTAAGCTATTGCTGGGGCTTTGCTAGGCTGCTGTGATACAATGAGGAATGTATTTATACTTTATTTTGCACCAGTCCTAGTGCAAAATAAAGCACTATAGACAGTGAGGAATGTCTCTCTTCTCTAGACATATACTGAAAACAAATTTAGAAAAACACTTGTAGCAAACAATTATTTTTAAATCTGTATTTTTATAAGCTCATTCATGCCAGATACTGTCTTCTAGTTAAATGGGATTTACAGAGAAAAACAAGCTCAAATAGAAAATTTTCGTCTATTACAATGCCAGACCAGCAAAAATAATTGAGTTACAAAGTAAAATTCAAGTTCTGTACATCACCCTCAAATGAGTGGAAAGTATTAATGTGAAAGGAAGCCTGTTCCTCTAAAACACAACAATATTTAGGCTAGATACAATCAGACATTTAAGGAGGATTTGTAGAGAGCTAGAGATTGTCATAATGATCAAGTTCATGTAGAATGTAATCTGCTCTGAATTACTGGAGAAAATAACATTTAAAGCCAAATCCAAAAGAACCCATGATATGTTATATGATATTATTGTGGATGGTTATCTTGCAAAAGACCAAATTTAAAAAAATACTGCCTGGGAAATATAAAGGCTGTAACTTCCAGCCAGTGATTTGAAATGAAAACTACAAACTAACCTCAAAACACTTCTCCTTCTCTGTCTCATGCAGAAGTGCAGCCAGTCCTGGTAAGACCACTGGGAAGATGTAAAACTCCAAATATTCTCGAGGAGAGCCTGAGCAAAACAGGACAGCCTTCACTTACAGCTAAGCACTTGGATTTCACAAAAACAGCACCATAAGATATCATAAAGTCAGTACCAGTCATTTTGTCAATACCATCACAGCTTGGACAAAGCAGATTCAATCCCTTCACATACAGCCACAGGTTTGTCTTCACTTCTCAACACAACACAAACTTGGGTAAATTTCAAACTAAATGTGCACCAATACTGCAAACTCAGTGTGCCTCAGAGATGTCACATTTAGTTTTAAGAGAATAAACTCAGACACCAGAAGCAGTTTAGTCACAGAAGTGAAAAGCTCTGTGAATTAATTTATCCTGACAGGAAGAAATTAGCCTGTGCTGAACTCAGTGCTGCTGCAGTTAGACCACTTTGGTATCTCATGCCCTTTACAATCTGCATTATCAGAGTTAGTCATAAAACTGAATTTCTAGACAGAGGAAAAACCAAAGCTTATATTTTAGTGGTGCTGTGATTTCTCTGTCATAAATTGCTCCACACTTGCCATATCCTTCAGAGATTTTAACATGACTCCATGTACCCAACCTTTCCCCTCTCAGAGGGCTGCCTGCATTGCACCTCTCCCCATTCAGGCACTATTCAGGTTTTGGTGGGATCAGCACAGATTAAGTCCTAGGAGTGTTCTCTTCTGACAAAACAGCTGAAACACTGAATTTATTCTCAGCTTTATACCTTTAATTGGTTCATATACTGCCAGAAAATGCTCATAATTGGGAGGACACTAGTTATGTAAAAGCCAAGGGTAACACTGCTTCTGACTTGCACCAGGAGTTCCTAATGAGCAAGAATGAATGGAAGAGAAGACAAAATGAAGGGCTAAAATGCATAATAAAAACACACTGCTGCTTAGTAAATTTATTATAAAGTACAGGAATTGATAAAAGTGGAAGAACAAAACTTCAGAGCTGCTTCCATTCTCGTCTGAAATCAGGTGGGTAAAGACAGTATTTTGACAGCAGTTCTCAAATTCAATTGTCTACTTAGTCTATTGATCCTAGTTTTGCATTATTAAATCAGAGGAAGAAATGCCTGCCATTTCTGATTTAAGTGCCTAAATAAAAAGTCACTTATTCAGAAGAGCACAGAACTACCTTAGCTAGCTGATGGTTTGTAATGCATAATTTGATATTTCTTCTTGACCAAGTGGCCAAGCTGGTTCCCTGTTTTCAGAGCAGAGGCCTAACCATGCAAATTCCCCACAAGCAAAGCTGTTGTAGCTGCTAACACTCTAAATTAAATAAATTACAAATCCTTGCCATGTGCAAGACAAATAATCACAGCAGGGTTCAAGGTAATATACTCCTACTCACATTTTTTTGGATCAGGGGGTTCTCCAGGGGGAGCTTCCCCAAGTATGGGAAGCAGATATTGGGCTCCAGGGGCAGAAAAAAGTTGTTCCATAGGAATAGCTGCTTCCAAAGGCACCTGCTCAAAATATATATATCCTGTATAAATACCCCAACAGACTAGACAAAAAAATACAAACAAATTAAACAGAAAAAAATTTATAAGGTCAGTTAAAAATTATGGAATTATAATGTCTAATTCAAATGTTATATTATTTATGTATTTTCTGAATCCTTGAAAATATATAATTACACTTTAAAAACTTCCGCAGTTTACAACAGTAAAATCATCCAAACCTAACAGAAGGTATATGACACCTTTTAACAGAATATGGTGAGATATCACAATTTTTAGAATATTTTATCCATTTCAAGAAGTAATAATTATGTGGAAATTAATACTGGTAGCATTTTCTGAATAAGTATTTTCCACTCAGAAGTTTAAATATCTCTTTCACATTGTTCAGAAGCCCTGACATTCACCTTTTAAAGAAAATAAACTTTTCTTGTTATCATTATCCAAGTTGTTTTAAATACAAGCAATTATTTGGAATATTACATTTGTTGGTTCAAAGAAGTTGCTTGAAAAATAATAGTTTTGTTTTCATTTTATGAATGAGTCTACCCTGTGGGTACCTAATTTTCACTTTTAGTTGTATAAAATATTTTAAATACATCTCTATGGAGATTTTTTACTTGAACTGCACTCACTGATTCTTGTTTTGATACAGGATCTTGTTTTGATTGAGGAACATCTGAAACTTGAGGCTGTTCTGCTTCATGCTCTAAAACTACAAAAAAAAAAAAATACATTTACCAGGAGACTCTAAAAAAAATATTTATTTTCCTCCTAAACCAACATTCTTTTTAAGGTATTTATTTAGGTTTGAAAGAATAAAAGTTAGTATGCAATAAATATTTGTTTAACATGAAATCTAACGTTTTGAAACAAGCAAGAACTTAAGAGACTCTTGTTATGTCTTCTCTTGAGCTTTAAGTGCAAGGCTCTCACTGACAAAAGAACCCTTTATTGGGAAAAAGGTTTTTAACCAAAATAATCATACAAAATATTTCAACAGAAGTAGAATGCACACGCTTGCACTGAATTAACCATTGTTTTTACTAGTGGACAAGACTACTTTCACAGTGGATTCCTCTATAAACAATTAAGTCCCACGGACATTGCTAAGTATTACTGTTTCCACTTTGAAAAAAAAAATAAGAAAACAAATAAACCTACACAAACAAATTAAAAAACCGACGAACTAAAAGCTGTACACGACCCTCAAGGATTACTGAGTGACTCAGGCTAAGAAAAATAAAGGATCAAGACAAGGATATGAGAAAACCCACAGCTCCCACAGCGCAGAGCCTGGGACCCGAGCCCGGCTCAGCTCCAGCAGCGCGCTGAGTGAGGTTTGGGCACCGCCAATAAATCCACGGGTCTGCAGGCCCGGCTTCAACAACCGAGCTCCTGCAGCGCTGGAAAGGGGCACTGGAGCGCAAAACGCCCGCTCTGGGCGTTCGTGAGTGCTGAGGGAAGATATCCCCGCTGGGGGAGGCAGTGCAGTCCCAGACTCTGGGGCTCTGCTATCAGAATGCTGCCCTGAGAACAGTTTTGTATTAATTTAACGTCAATTAAACGTCCATTTAACCAGCAGTGGCACAGCCGGCTCTGCCTTCCCTCGCGGGGCACGCACAGAGCGCCAGGCCAGCACAGCCGGGCAGAGCGGGGCTGACAGAAGCTGCGGCAGGCCACGAGCAGAGCGCTGCCGGCGGCGTGGGGCGCTCCGCGGGGCGCGGCCCGCAGCGGTGCTGAGGGGAGCGGGCGGCCCCAGCCCGGGGCGGGCCGGCAGCGGGCACGGGCGGCCTGAGGGGCCCCGAGGGCCGGGGAGCGGCGCGGGGCCCGCCCGGGCGCTCGGAGCGGGGCCGGGCCGGTGTCCCACCTGCGCCCGGGCCGCCCGCCGCCATGGCCGCGTCCCGCGCGTTGCCCGGCAGCGGCTCCGGCCGCGCCCGCGCGGGGCGGGCACGGCGCGATCGCTTCCGGGGCGGCGGCGGCGCTGCACGTGGCCGCGGGAGGTGAGCACGGCACGGCACGGCACGGCACGGCCTGGCCGCCACAGGGACCGGCACGGCACGGCCCCGCCGCCACCGCATCCCGGGCCGGGCCCGGAGCGGGCAGACTCGGCTGACGGCGCGGGCGCGGTGGGCGCGGGGCTGAGCGGGGCCCGCACGGACAGCGAGACCCCCCGTGCCTCCCTGTGCTGGGCGGGGGCTCCCCGGGGTTTGACAGCGTGCCTCGGTGGTGGTGTAAACCGAGTGGGAATCATTGAGTTTATCAGTAAGTGGGTGCTAAAGGCTTCTGTGTTGTAACCAGTTCATTGGCGTAAGTGTCGTGAGAAAAGAAACGGAGAGCAAGGATAGGAATCACCCATAGAAGGAAATTGAAGGTAATGATTCCGGTGCCGTGGAAGGGTCGGGTGATGCTGAGCGGGCAGTAAAGCGGTGTGAAGTTCTGTGCTAAGTGAAAAGTCACAGGTACCTGGAAAACTACTCTGTATACACATGGATATGTTTTTCCCTTTAGAAAAGATATTTTGAGGGTAGGTATTTCTGTGGAAACCTTGTGCTCTGCTGCTGCAAAACAGACAAATAGAATCTTATAAACTAAGATAAGGTACACTAAACAACATGATAAAAATAATCACCCTAGTAAACAGTATTTTCTGTATGTGTCTGTATGTCAGTATGTTCTGCTTCCCATCATGGAAGGCAGACTGAAATTAGAAAGAATGTTAGGGACAATGGGAAATCAGGAATGGTTTCAGAATAAAGGAAGACCAAGTAGATTGGGACTTGTATCATCTCTTTGAAGCAGTTCGCTAATAGCTTCATTTCCTTTTTTAGAATGATAAGAAAGAAAAAGAGAAAAGAAATTAGTGAGGAGCCTATTCAGAAAAAGAAAAAGGTGAAGACTAGCGTTAAAATTGAGGAAGATGTTCAAGCTGTCAGTGAAACTGAGGACAATGGTCATTTCAAGAAAAAGACGAAGACAAAGAAAAAGGAAAATTTAAAATATGAATGCTTACACAAATGGCAACCAAAGAATAATAAGAAAAAGAAGAAGAAAGTTGGCTCTGAATTACTCAGAGAAGGTAATTTAGAAAGCTTTGTGAATAGAAAAGGTCATTTGGATTTACAACTTCAAGAAGAATCAGAGAAACAAATTAAAATAATCAAAAAGAAGAAAAAAAAAGTCCAGTGTCATTTCTCCTTGGAGAATAATGAGAGTAGTGATGTGGAGCTTTCAAATCATCGCACAGATGGTACTAAAAAAAATGAATTATCTTTTAAAAAAAAGAGAAAGAATACTGCTTCAGATTTGGAATTGGATGGTGAGGTAACAAAGAAAAAAAAGAAGAAACGCAGTTTTTTGTTAGAGGACATCCAGGACAGTGAACAAAGGCAATCTGCAAAAGTTGGTAAAAACCCCCACAAATGCACTTCACATGAAGCAGTTTCTATGGGTGAGGACTATGACACAGAAAATGCCCAGAATGGTGAGGAGAGTTATGTGAGAAGAAAGAAGAAGAAGAAAGGTAAATCTGATTACTTTTTACCACTGGCAGTAAATGAGGACTACATGCATCGAGTTCCTGGTAGCCCTACTGCATTAAGTGACTTCAGAAAAAGGAAGAAAGATAATTCCTGGGAATTTACATTGACAAGCAGAGAGGAAGAGGACAAAATTAAGAACTTTGGGTGTATCAAAGAGATGAAGAAGAAGAAAAAAAAAGCTGTTTCTTCCTCAGCCTATGAAGATAAACAAGACTGCAGTCACTGCATTCCTGATAAGCATCTCCCAGCACAGCAAGAAGTTGAGCTTGAGGAAGAAGAGCTGTCTGGAAAGAAACACAGGAAGAATTTAAAGGATAATAATGAAGTCAGTAAGAAGAAAAAGAAGAAGATTAAGAAAAAGGAAAAGGAAAAGGAAATAACATACTCAGAAGTTTCTTTAAACAATGACAGTGCTTCTGAAAGCCAAAAAACACTTCTACAAAGCCATAAGAAGAAAGAGAGTGAAATGGAGCGAGCTCAGTGTGTTACAGGGGACACTGCAGATGGGGCATTATGCAGTAGTAATCCTGTACTGTGTGACAGAAAAAGGAAAAAAAGAGAAAAAGTACCATCACAGGACTTAGCTGAAGAACCAGGTTCAAAAGCAGTTGCAAGAGAGATGAAGACAGAATCGCCATGGAGTGAGTCAGGGGTAAGTTGCAGAGAGGAGAGCAGCTTTGCTCCCTCCTGCTGAGGAGCTGGAAGCCTTTGGGGCAGAAGCTTTGCAGGCTGCTCTGCCTGTGGGTAACACTGAGGGCCCCACTGGGTGTGGGGATCAGGATCAGCTGATCCATTTCAGCAGGTCCTAGTTCAGTTCCCAGGACATTCTGGGCTGGAAGGGACCACGGGGATCATCACATCCAGCTCATAAATGAAGGGCCCATACAGGGATCAAAGCCCAGCTGAGCTGATCTGTGGGGAAGCACTGATGCCTGCTACTGTCACCATGCAGTGTTGCAGTTGTGAAAATGTAAATATTACCACTAGCAGCAAGTATTGGCCCCAAAATAAAGTGGGGTTGTACAGTCGCAAATGCTCAGTCGCTCTGAGCAAAGTGAAAACATTCCTCATCACACAGGAGTTGAATTCCATGTCATTTACCCTGAGCAGTGGTAACCTGGCAGCATGAGTTCATCTGTTTGTTGGACTTTCCTCAAGCTTTGCTGCTGTCATTGCTGGAGTTAGGTAATATTAGAAACAAAGGGGAAAGTTAGCCAAAACCTGTTCACTAATTCCAACAAAACAGAGAAAAAAAATCTTAGGAATCCTAGGTGTAGACTGGACCAAGAGCATTGAAATACAAATTCTGATAGAAAAATACTAAAGACCTAAACACACAGTTTTAATTAAAACAATAAATCTATGCAAAAAAATAAATAGATGTAAGAACTGTGTGAATTGTAACTGAGGATAACTGGGATTGTATCCTGACTGACTGGTAAAGGAAATCCCATCCAAGAGTCTTGCAGTACTTGCCATTTCTGAGGTAAAATTATCATGGGGAGGAACTGATGAAATATTTGACATACAGACTTTTTTCTTTATATAAATGAATATATATAATATTTCATATCAAATATTTTAAAGCTAAGGGTGCCAAAAGTTAGTACCTACATGCCCAGCTTCTGTTGTCATCATTGGAAATTCAGCTGTTAGACGCTCAGAAAATCAAGAGGTATCTATTGTATTTTTAGCTGCTTAAACTTAATTTTGAAAACGGCACATTGCAAGTTACTAGGAGGTTGTTTTTATTCCTGTAGATAATAGGAAGCTGTACTCCAGTTGCTTGCTATCAAGAATTTTGAATGCTTGGCTTATTTAAATTTCAAGCACTAGTTAAGAAAGTATCACAGAAGAATTTTGCAAGTTAAGGGTAGACCATAATGTGAGCTGCTTTTCACTTCATTTGCTTTGTCATGCACTCAGATGCAGTTACCTCAAGTTCTATGGAAACCTGGCAGCTGCCTGGTGTCTAGTGCTAATAATTAAATCTAGATTCATGTGGAGACCCAGATACAGGCTTTTTTCACAGGGGCTTGTGAGGGGAGTGTGTATGCTTATCAGTCATGAGGTGAGCAGATGTTTGGGGCTTTCAAGGTGGATTTCTCCTTTTGACCTTTCAAAGGACAAGGTGGTTTTATTGCTAGATATATTTTCTAATTAAATTGCATTGCCTTTTTGAGATTGTCAGACATTATTTGGATTTTGCAGCTGCTTACATTGTGTGGAGGCAAGATAAGCCCTACAATGACATGTAAACTTCCATGACCAGTTAATATGGAAACCACAGCAAATACCTTGCAAACTGTTGAGAAGAAGGGAGTAGAGTGATGCATGTTTTGTTCCTCTTTCCCATAGGCAGCTCCTTTAATAATATCAAACTACTCAAAAGAAAACCTGAATATTGAGAGGTCTGTGTTAGTCAGCTCTAGCAAGTTCTAGTTCCTGCCAGGCCAAAAGACACTGCACCAATAAATGGCTGATAATGTGCTCTTGCATTTAACTGTGCCAAGTCCTGAAATGTTTTCATCTACAGCATGTCACATGCTCTGCATACCTTGAAAAACCTTCTGTTGGGCTTGCCCTGCAAGTAAAAGAGCAAATTTTAAAAATGTGGAGTGACACCCATTTAGTGATTGGTGTTTTTCTCGTTGGATCCCATTGCAAACAGCTCAGGCAGTGAGGAGTGAGGACTCTTTTTACTGCTTTGATGCTGTTTGCCAGCAGACAGCATAACCCTACCATATGTGAATGTGCTCCTTTTCCCTGAAGTTGGAGGGAGCTTGGCACACCTCCATGGGGTACTTTTTTCCACTCAGTAACCCTCAGCATGTCAGCACTGTGCTGGGAATGAGCTGGGATGGGGGTGCTCCCTCCCTCCAGCTAAAAAGAAAAAATATGCTGCAGTTGTTTGCAGAGTCCTGTCAGGACAGTTTACCTGCTTGTTTTAATATATCTGAAAAGACAGTACCAGGCCATCTAGAAGTAAATTGGGGGTTGTTTTTGGCTTCTTCTGTTCTTCCAAGAGCATGAGCTGTCCTTCCTGCAGACAGTGTTCTCGCATTTTTAATAGTGCATGTACTTGTGTGTGTGTGAAAGCAGTGTTTAAAAGGTAGCTTTGGAAAATGAGGTAAATCATTGATAGCTTTTAATATAACTAAAGCCTCAAAAAAGTAACAGCAGGTTCTGCTGACAGAAGTATGTTACAAATCTTTTCCTTGTCGTTTCCCTGGCTGTTTCATGCTTGGTTTATTATGTTAGCCGTATCAATAGATCTTCTCTATGGCCACTTTTTCCAGGCTGGTCTAAAGCTTATGGCTCTCATTTACTACTATCCTGGACTTAATACTTACCCTGCTGTACTGGCTGCCCAAAAAGCTTCTCCTCATTACAGATTTGGAAGAGAAAGGCTGGGGGCAGTGGTTTAGGCACGCCAGTCACTGGGAGCTAAAACTGCAGAAGGGCTGCGCTTCGTAGAGATGTGATCAGGGTGTAGTTGTGTGTGGACTCTCAGATTTACCTCCTGCCATCCAGCACATCCATTCCTTCTGGGGCTGCTCGGTCTCTTCCATCAGCTCCTGTTCCTTGCTCTCAAAGGTGGAATGCTGTGCTGCTGGCTGCCATTGTAGGGGACAGTTCAGGTATGAGTCCTTCCTGTCCCTGTGCTCCTTCCACACTGGGAGCTCCCTGGGCACCGTCATCCACAGGGGAGCACAGTGCAGCTGCCTCTTGGTTGGCTTTTGTTTATTGTTTCAGAGAGACCTTTATTTATTTTAACTCCAACTTCTAACTTTTTTTTAACTTTCACTGTCTCTGTGCCTTTCTTCAAGTATAAATTTAAGCGTTTACAAAATGGTTTAATTTGAAATTACTCTGCCTGCAGACATTAGTGTGCGTGCCAGTGTTGTTGGCAGGTTCCTATTAAATGTGTAAATCTAAAAATCATTTATCTTGATTAAAGAAGAAAATCTCTGTGAGGTTTTTCCATAGGAATACACAGATTTAATTGGCATTTTCATCTTAGAGCTGACTATTTCTTCTTGCCCCTGAATAATACTACTGATTGTTTACTGTTTTAACTACTTTTGTGGTAAGAGCTATGTAAATTCCAATTAACCAGAATGTATAAAAATAATCATACAAGCTTTTTCCTGTTCTACAGGAACATCTAGATGACTGTGTAATTATTGTGCAGGAAAAGAAAGGAAACTGTGATGAAATTAACATAGACAAGGTATGCTTTGTCCTAACTGGGTAAGATCTAAAGCAAGTCAGCATTTAACATATGCATAGGAATTGATACCAAAAAAACTGCTTTGTTGCTTATCTGTACCTAGATTTCCCCAAATAAAGCTCTGCTTAAAATGTGCTTTATGAGTGGGTTAAGTCCAAAATGTACAGTCAATGTCAGAAGTTACTTACTAAGTTAAAGGCACATTTCTTTGTGCCTCTCATCAGTGTTGGCAGTTAGAAAATTAGACTTACCTGATACAGAAACCACTCATTTAACATACACTAAAAAATTACGGTTCTCATGTTGAATGTGTGAAAGGATCCCATGCACCTTTTAATTATCCTTGCAAAATTCTGAAAATAACTAATTATTTTGGTTTTCTCTTATTATTTCATTTTGAATTAATTGTCATTTAACACATGGGACACAGTCTAATGCTGCATGTGGAATTTTTCTGCACACTAGGTGAGGCGGCAGGCCCTGCAAGAAGAAATAGACAGAGAATCTGGCAAAACCAAGGCTCTCAGTTCCAAAGTGGGACAGGTAATGTATGAGTTTAGACCTCAACCTGATGGAAATACTGCCTGTAAAAAGCACTGTGCTCTTTTTTGTATGGTGCTCATGTACAACAGTGTTCCTTCTGACTGCAGATTTCAGGTCATGCTATAGAAAAGTTGGTCCAATGCCAAGAATCTGAGAGCTGAGCAGTGAACTCCTTGCCATTGCACAGTGTTCCAATTCCCATCATCAGTCCTCAAAAGCAACATTTTTCTCTGGTTCCTCTGGAGAATGGGCCATCAAAAATTGCTACAGAAGCATTTTCTGCTTACTGTGAAATACAAGTAATTTTTGGGTTATAGATGCAGCAGTCACTGAAGTGTATCTGATTTCTTACCTGCAAGGCTTTGCACACATTCAGCAACAGGGACACACCTGGAAAGGTAAAGGGAGTGGCAAATGTTAACACACATGTGTGATATGTAGAGTCAGTCCTCTCATGGCTTCTGCATCTTCCCTCCACCTCTTTGGAAGATGATTCCTGATTCTTTGCTTTTGCATCCTGCTCAGCCTGGCTCCTGACAGATTCACAGTAAGGTAGTGGAAACTTGCTGCAGTATTTAGCCAAGGGTAAGAAGATTGAGGTGGAAAGAAAGCTTTGCTAGTAATTCAGGCTTCTGTTGTTTTACAGGACTACCAGAATGCCTAGAAAGCTGGAATATGCCTTAAAAAATGCCAAAAACAACTTCTGTAGATCTAACATAGTGGGAGGGAGTCTGCATAGCTCTGGAACTACAACTGTCTAATAGACTCTGAAGTCATTGAGAAAAATGACATCCTTGGCAGGAGATCTCAGTTCTTTGGCACTGATCTGTCTCTGTTTAGTAGTATGCAGAAGAATAGAAGCTGTGAAAACTTAATTCATCAGCTCCACAAAATGAGCTGGAAATGCTTCAGCAAAAGCTGGCTGTAGTGCCTGCCAGCAGCTCACTTAAAAACAGAGTTTTGACAAGCCATAATTATATTTGCATCTGTGCAGACGTCTCCCATTGCAAAGGGAGGAATTATATTTATCTGTCTTGTGAGTATCTGGATGTGTGCATGTATCTGTGTCACAGACTGGGCTTGTGCAGCAACTTGCAAGGTCGAAAGGCTGAACTATTATGGGTAGCTTTCTTTCAATAGCAGGTATTCTGGCCTGTGATAGTGAATGATACTCCAGCCTTGCATTTTTTAATTTTACAGTTGTGTAGCATGCTGTGTGTCATGTTGGCAGTCTGCTGGAGAATGACTGTTTCATGCAAGCTGCAACTGTTCTGTTGGAAGGATTTCAGGCTGACATAAGCATATCACTGAATTCACTTTTTTTTTTTTCCTTTGATGTAGCCAGCTCAGTCTGTTTAATTAATAATTGGACATTCTGCCATTTAGTATCATGCCCAATTTTAAAGAAAAATTTCTGAGTAAATCCTGCCAAAAGCATTTATAAGTGACTGCAAAGCTATAGCTCAGGAGTCAAATACACTTGAATAATGAAGCCTGTTCTTAAGTAAGCCAAAAGTTCATGAACTCTGTAAATCCTACAGTGTATCTGGGTTTTCCACAAACAGCTGAAATCTCATTTTGGCTGGATATTGTCTCTTCAGAAAGGGGCCAGAATCTACAGATAGAAGAAAAATCTTGAAGGGGTGAAGTAGTTCAGAGAGTACAGTTAAATGCAAGTACAGTAAATACAAAGAGCACAGCAAACTGCAAGGGAGGGAAGGCTTTAAGAGAACTAGAATTAGTCCTGTTGGATAGGGGAGGCCCTCTGGTTTTGCACCCTTGCAATATTAGTTGTAATTAGTAGGATTAGAATGCTTAAATTTAAAAGTGGGATGAGAATTACTTAAAGCTTGTAAGCCAGATTGAACAGTGTCCACAACTAACATAACACTGCTGAAAACAGCAGCTCCCTAACTCGGAAGTGGAAGAATGAAAAGATAACCCTACAAAGTGACAGTAGAAGAGGATTAAGGCTGACAGTTTTCTTAGAATAGGAGATGCTGTCTGGCTGTTGGAGCAGAGAGGGAGCAGAAAGCCAAGATTGCTAAGGACAGAGGGGAAGGAGAGTCTCAAAGCTCATTAACCCCTGGCTCCAGGTGAAATGGCTGAAATGCTGATGAAGGTGCACTCAGGCAGAGTTGGGTCAGTCTTTTACCAGATCCCTGGAGAGGCACTGCCCATGGAATAACACTTCCCAGCTCTGCCCCCCTGTCAGGCAGGCCCCCCCTGTTTGTGTTCTGTTCTCATGGTACCCAGCCAGAAATGATCTTCCTTGGTCTTGGTAGTTTTAAATTTTAGTGTTAACTTTGTTTTGCCTTACAGGATACGAAGCTTGGACAGTGGAGTACAGCTACTTTTAAAAGTTCTGAGCAACAAATGAAGTTTTTTAGACTGATGGGTGGCTTTAAAAAAGGTTCTGTGCCTATCCAAAGTCCCTCAGCAAATACAAACAAACCAAACATGGCTCTGAACCAGGAAGGGCAGGAGAAGTTACAGCAGGCTCTGAAGATGGAGTTTGATAAAGCAATGGACTTGAAGCAACGCAGAGGAATTGGTCTTGGATTTCAGCCTAATGCCAACAAAAAAGTATATATAGACAAATATGCATCTAGATCCATAAAATTTGAAGATTAAAACTCAGAAGTAATAAAGACGTGAAATTTATTTTTGCCTTCTACATCTCTTTACTTGAAATAAAATAACAAAATGCTGAAGAAATTTCATTTATGAAGTACTTGAACAACTGCATATACCAGTGGAGCTGGGTCCTCACTTCATCCAAACAGTAAGTTTTTCAAACCTTTATCATGTTCTTCAAGGCAAGAGACAGCCTGCTTCAAAGATTGAAGATGTGTGCCATGCCTGCAATTAGTTGAAATTCAGTAGTATTTTTTTTAAATGCTGATTTAATAAACTTATTTTTTCTATATCATAAGTGATTCAAAAGGATTTCATTGTTTTGTAAAATCTTCACATTTTTTACACAGTGGTACAAAATGATGGTGCTTTACTTTGAAGACACAGTACTGGTGTGCCCTCAAATTTGATGAGGGCAGACTTTTAACTGATAAAGTAATTCTTAAAAATCTAACATCTTCCTTATAATAAGACAGCATTGAAGATCTCTGTATTTGAACTATGCTCTGACAGTTGGATTTTCAATCAGCAGCTGTTATCTAAAAATGAAAGTATAAGCATTTTGGAGATTAGCACAAACAGAACTACCTTTCTTTAAGACAGCTTCACTTTTCCACAAGAGTTTTCTGCAATGGACTGCTGTACCTGAAAGCATCTGCCTCCAGCAGAAAACACACTTAACAAAACAGCACTTGGTTCTGATGCATTTTGGGCAGCTCTGGAGAGGAAGTGAAAATTCTGCTGAGACTCCACTTAAGGGGTTGCCATGAATCCATTCCTGTATCTGGGAAGAGGAAGATGCTCTTCCTGCAGGGTCTAAACTTCTTGGAGAAAACCTGCTCCTTTAAGGTGTCATTTAAGCCACCACTACCTCAGCATGATGCTGATTTGCATCAGTGCTCTCAGTGTTCAGCACCAGCTTCCACCAGCCCTTCTAGGTTTTGGCTCTTGTTTTACTGAAATTCAGGTAGTTAATGTTCTGTTTTCTCTTCTGGTTTGAAACAAATGCTGAATTCAAGCCCTCAGCTGCAAGGAGTAAAAAAAAAAAACACTAAGCAAAATTAGTAATAGATGTAAGGTCTTAACATGGTTCCTTACCATGGGGCAGAACGGATGAGAGAGATTTAATTAGCAATAGTAACAGTACATGTAACTGAATTCCAGAAGGGTAAGGTGATAGATTTGTATACACAAACACCCCCAGAACACACAGATGAGCTGCAAATTGTTTTATTCAGTGATAGTGCTCTTTGCAAATATAGAGGACTTGGCATCATTTCCATTTTCCTTCCCAACACTTAAAGATCCTTCTACTTTACAAAACATCACTGGACTAAAATGCAAACATAAACATGTCTATGTAAATGTATTGTAGAAATTAGAACGGTAACACCTCAGCCATTTTTCTCTGCTACTGGAGCCAGTCAGACAAATGCTGGCAGCATCCCAAAGCAGAGGCACAACTTAGTCTGACTGTTCTATGGAAATGCTGCTTTCTGCAGAGGAGAATGACTGTTCTGCAAGAGGGATGAAGTTTTGAGGCTGTGAACTCATTTGTACAGACTATCTTCCTTTTTTGTTAAAATTACAACAGATCTCAAAAGGCTTTTGCAACCATAGAGGCTCAAGACACTGCTTACTGAATGTAAATCAGCATTTAAAATAACAATACTATGGTAAAACTGGATACAGAAACTCAGGTTAAATTATTGCACTCAGAACAGTTTTACCTTTGCTGTGCCCAAGTAAATTTGTCTCAGTAAGGAAAATAAAAATACACTGAACTCCTGCAGTGAAAATGTAAATCAGTGATTTCTGGCCTTGGTTCCATGCTCCCTTGTGCAGGTGACTCCTTGGAAGAGGCACTCATCAGGTCCTGGACTGCAGAGGAAGCCGGAGGGCCAAGTCTGTGAAATGACTCATTTCAGGTTGTTTGCTCCTCCTCTTGATGTACTCTAGGGTTTTCACCTAGATTTGAAAAGAAAGGTATTTGGAGATGTTCAGTGTCTTATTTCACAGCCGTCAGTTCATCTTTGTGAAGGTGTTTTATCATGCTCATTATCATGTGTATGTTTCTTACAGGCTCTCAAATGCCACTTTACAAGCTTTCACCAGGCAGTTCCTCCACAAAATAAAAATGCAGCATTTCTCTTCAAGCTAGTTTTCTGTACTGAACAAAAAGTTAAGAACAATCAACACTTTCAGATTTCTTAATGCCTGTCATACTATTAAAATTCTAGAAAGATGCAGACCACTTGAAATAAGAAAAGCTGCTTGTTCATTAAGAAGCATTTAGAAGAATAACTTGCTGGGGTTTTAAAATAACTTGATTTTTTTTAAGTTAGCTTGTAAAGAGATGAGGTTTATTCAGATCAAGAAAATGTTACCTTTTCCCAAATAAAGAGTGGAAAAAGATATTAAAAACTAAAACCTCTCTGCATTATCTGTCTCACTCCCTTACCATAGTCTTGGTGTCAGCAAAGCCATGCTTCTGAGCGAGGTTCCAGAGATTGACTGAAAGCTGGTTCAGTCTGTTGTTCCGCAGGTCCCCATGAGCCAGGATGGTGTTAAAGAAATAAAGTGCCAGCTGGCTCTGCCGCTTCAGGGTCTGGGATGAACACAGAAATATTCCCATGTTACTGTCCACTCATCCCAAAACACCCAGCTTAACCTCACCAGCTTCTCGGGGCCCTCACAAGTTCAAAGGGCACTCCTTTTGTAACACACAGCAATAGTTACAGACAGAAGAATACAGAGTTTTCATATTCCATTCAAAATGCACCAAGCAACACTAGCTATAAATCAACATAAGCTACTGTGAATAAAATAATTACTCAGACTGCTATGTGTCATACCACTTTGGCACAGCACAGTATGTAGGTCTGACACATTTACAACTCCAGACTCCCTACAACTGCATAGAAATCACCCTCCCACCAACCAGCCTTGCACTTAGAGCACCCTAGCTGTAAATTTTTAGAGACCACTATCATCAATCTAAATGCAACTTCAGCCTTTTTTTTTCCCAGTCTATTTCTACTTTTATTTATTTATTTAACCAAAGATTTTTTCCTGCTATTCTTTCACTGAAACTCGGTGATATGAACATATTTGTACCATATTTGTAGCTACTTCCCCTAACATTGCTGAGGAGGGACCTTAAGGTACATAAGAGTAGTCTTCCCCACACAAAGCAGAGAGGATTCACTGCTACATGTTCTCTTGACCTGAAACAGCTTGAACTTTACAGAACTGTCCAGAACTAAAAATTTCCATTCCAGCACTGTCACATAAATGAAGCATTCTCTAATACTGTGAAAAGACCACACTGTGTTAACAATAAGATGCATAGTTCTCTTCCAAGTTGCCATTTTGGTGAAAGGATTTTATTGTGAGAAAATAATTTATTTTCCTTTATAGCTTTTAAAGGAAATGAACCAATATAAACACAAAATCATTAAAGTCTTGTTCATTTAAATGAGCAGCCAAGAAGATGAATAATAAAAGGTCACCAACACTGAAGCAATCCAAATACCAGTGATTTTATGACCAGCTTTACTTTAGCACAATTAGAGCTCTCTGACAATATTCTCATCACTTCTATTTCCTCAGCAACAACAGCTTCCTCAAACAACTATTCATTCTTACAGAGCAATTTTTATCTAAATCTCTCAATGACTTTCACTCAACAAAACAAAACAAATGGTCCCTCTTTGCAAATAAGGATGGCCAGAGGAGCAAATCCAAGGCTGCAGAGGCAAAGGCAGGCCAAGCACCTGTATCTGTGCTGCTTAGCCTTAAATCAGTTTTCTATGCAACAACAGCCTCAGTGAACTAACACAGGATCTCCCTACTCAACGTGTGCTTGAAAGGAGAAAACAAAAAAAAGCCCTTTCAGAAACCGTAGATTTCAAGTCCTACAAACATTCCTACACACAAATTCCATACAGGAGTCAGATGCAAACAAACCCCTAATATACAACCCACGGTCCTGAAAATTTTAAATTTTCTTCTAAGACCTGGAACATTGGACATTCTTAGCTGTGCTAGAATGGTTGTTTCTGCTGCACTGTTCTGAAAAAGAACTATTATTCCCTGAGGTGATGTGTACAATGATGCAGAGGATTTGAGCAAAGGATATTTTCATCTTATATCTCTGCTATTGCTCAAGGAAGGACAAACAGGATAGCAAAAGCAGAGAAAAGGCTAAACTTAGCCCAGTGTCCTCCCAATATGTATCACTTAACACATTCTGTATTGGCAAACACTCTGGGCTACTGTGCAAAGAGCCCATCTAAAAAATTCCATCCCATCCATCACGCCCTGCCCTCCCATTCCAGGCCAGGAGCCACAAGATTTCTATCAATAGCAGCCATCAGTGAGGGCTGATTGGGAAGCTGTCCATTCTCAGAAACAGGTACATGAACAGAACACCGAGTTCTCATTATTTCAGCAAACATCAGTCACCTGCCTTTCACATACAATCCATTAAGCTAGATTTGATCCCTCAGAGCCTCTGAATTCCAATCAAGAAATCCAATAAGCTGCCTAGAGTTTATTTTATATTGAACAAATATACTAAAGTCAGAGTAAAGACAAAACAACTATTTCCTCCCTCTGTACCTCTCTCCTGACATCATCTCAGTGCCTGGGATGTGAAACTTTTATAATTAGAGGTGGCTTTTATTGTATTTTCCCCAGTAATAAACTAACTGTGAATTCTCACTTTGCTCATTACAGAATTAGACATCATTAGGTGCCCACCACAAGCCTGCCTACGTGATGGTCTCACTTTCCAAACAAGTTAAAATACCCAATTTCCTTTTGTTAAGAGGTTCCTGAAGCTTTTGAAAAGACCAAGTCCTGGTCAAAGGTGATCTGTTTCTTCAACTCCAAATTATTTTTGGTTCTGTATTGAGTAAGAACTGAAGTAAGAAGCTGAGTAAGAACATACCTCCTCCTTTCCCAGGGTTTTCAGGTGATCCAGGATCTGTGACACCACTGTTTCACTCAGTTTATTAATTTCAGCCAGGAACTTGGAGTCTCCACCATACAGAGCATCATTGGAATCAACTGCAGAGATGAATTCAAGCTCAGGCCTGGCTAAAGAGCTATACATTTATTTACTATTGGAAACATAATATATTGATAGAAGACCACATTTGGAAGTCAAAACAAACTGCATATTATTTTTTTTTTCCTTAAAATAAACCCACGATTACCTCAAACTGATGGATAGAAATTCAAAAGGCATATTTTCAGTTTCAAAGACCTTAAAGGATTCTTAGGAGGGAGAGAGATCTTCAAGTTTTTACAGCTTATGTAATTGTGATTTTAAACATGTCTGTTGCCCTAATTTATTTATGTTCTATTAAGAAATAGGGTAAAAGAAATGTTTAGGTTTAAATATATTCTAGGTAAATCAGAAAGCACAAAAGGTGAAAGATAATCCCCTGTTTCCAAGTAAACTTTAAGATGCTAAGGTACAAGGTCCACCTAGAAAAAAACCCCATTGCTCCACTACAGGGGAAAAATTACTAATTTATATTTCCACACTTCTCTCCATTAAAATCTAATTAATTTAGATTTCTCATCTTGGGATTATGCAGCTATTTCGGTCATATAGAAAATAGAGTGAAAGAAAAAGCTAAATCACACTTCCTTACAGAATTTGAACAGCAGATTTACTACAGAGTAGCACTTCCACTGACAGCTATTTTCTGTGCTGCTAGCTGCAAGTGGTATATTGTCATGGGTGGTAAATCTGGCAGAACTGCAGAACACATTCCAGCCTTCCCCTCTGTGAAAGTCTGTGCAACTGAAAGAAAAAGTCAAACCATCTTGGCCTCTCTGACTCATTAATCTTCAGGGTGCTTGAAAGGATTTTTATTTATTACTCCACCTTAATTCAGTAATCTATAATCAGAAGGCAAATATTCAAATTTTAGAGCATATATCAAAATATTCCAAAAATTATTACAAGAAAGATGATAGCTGTTTTTCAAAATGTAAAATCTTTAGAATTTTCTAGCTATTCTGAATATTTTTGTAAGATACTACAATTTCCAGAACTCAAAGCCTGCTTTCAAAGTATCAAATACATAATTTAAATAATGAAGACAAGGCTTTACATCCTGAAAACTGGAGTTGTTAATAAATGTGGATGAAATACCAGTGATAAGTATAAATCAAGTTAATGCTTTTAGACTTAAATAAAACCCTTCATATGCATAATCTTTACTTGAAAAGTTCACATTTATGAGCATTTGCAACACCACCAGCAGAAGCAAACCAAGTAACCCACTCTGCACAGATTCACTTTAAAAAATAGACTGCAGCTGTTCAGGAGCCAACTCCTGGGATTATTCTAAGTTACAATACCTGGAACTGGATAGAAAAATAATCCATTCTGTGAGACTCATTACCACTGGTCTTCATTAACTGGCTGTGGTGATTAGACAATACTACAAATGTCCTGGTGGAATGCAAGGAGCCAGAGCCCCCCTTAGGTATTACCTTTATCTACATGGTAGATAAATGCTTCTTGAGTCATTGCAGACAGCAGATGCAAAACGTTGGTATAAATCCTGACTTTGTCATCACTGTTATCCTCCCAGGTATAATCCTGGATCACATTCAGTAATCCTCGCACAAGAAACAACACTCCTTGTTCTGGATGGTCCTACAGAGAAGAAAAAAGATAGGTCAAAACCAACACCACAACCCCAGAACAAAAACAGGATTATTTGCAGTCATTCGGTGGTGTAGAGTCACAGTTTGAGCTCTATAAAAGCAGAATTACAATATAATTAAATCTGACAGCTACTTTTCTTAAGTGTGTTTCCTGCAAAACCTTTAAAATTTTTTCCAGTTTCCATCTAAAATGCCCATTTAACCCATAATTAGAACATGATCCAGTCAGCCTCCACAGACAAACTTTGAAATGCTTTGTTTTGTAGTCATGGGGGAGCAGTACAAAATTAATTGTCAGCTTCTTAACAGCTAAGCCTCTAAAATTAAACGCTGGTAGATTTCATTATTAAAATTGTATCAGTAAGCTGTAGTGTATTACTCATATAATTATGAGATTCAGAAGAACTCCTACAGTGGGAAGTCAGTTATAGACAATAAACAATCTTTTTACATGAAATGAAAAGAAAGACTCTGCTTTTCATAAGCTGGGAGTTTTTACAAGCAGCTTTATACTGCACTGGGCTAATTCCAGCTGGCAGCTGGAGCAGTGGCACCAAGACACACAGGACAAATCCCAGTCCACTGAGGACACTTCCTTTTGATCTTCTGTAAATAGGGAACAAAGTTAGGGAAGCTAATTTCTGAATGCTGGCATCTCATCTAGTTATTTCTCCTAACTGAATCTGAGAGGTTGTGTCACTCCCTTCTTCAATCACCTGCTGATGATGCCAGTCACC